GAAGTGGAACAATTTAAACAAATCAAAACCAGAAGAACTGGCCATCCAAAATGGAACAATCTGGCTAACATACTTTGAAAATCTCTATCAAAATCTTCCAAATACAAATCAATCAGAACAAAACACCATTTATGAAAAACTCATAATTTTGGAATTGGCTATCAAAGACAACCAAAACCCCTTAGACTCCCCAATCACTGAGCAGGAGCTACTGGACAAACTCCAGGCCCTCAGACCACGCAAAGCCTGTGACCAAGATGGAGTCAACAACGAGATGCTGAGACACAGCAGCCCAACGTTGCAACAAGCCCTTCTCAAACTCCTCAATCTCATCATGACAGCTGGATGTTTCCCTGAAGCCTGGAACCAAGGACTGATCACGCCCATCTATAAGAGTGGAGATGGACTCGATCCCAACAACTACCGGGGCATCTGTGTGAACAGTAACCTGGGGAAGGTATTCTGCAGTATCCTAAATACACGAATACTGGTCTTCCTTACCGAACACGATGTCCTCAGCAAGAGTCATATTGCCTTCTTACCACATCATAGCACATCTGATCACATTTACACAGTTACAAACACTGATAGACAAACACGTCCACCAAAAACACAACGGAAATTTTTTTGCCTGCTTTGTCGATTTAAAAAAAGCATTTGACTCGATTTGGCATGAAAGATTGTTTTATAAACTACTCCAAAGTGGCATAGGGGGCAGAGTGTACGACATAATTAAATCAATGTATTCAGAGAGCAAATGTGCAGTGAAAATTGGAAACAAAAGGACCAAATTCTTCACCCAAGGCCGTGGGGTGAGACAGGGCTGCAGCCTGAGCCCAACACTGTTCAATATCTATATCAACGAATTAGTAGGAATGTTGGAACAGTCTGCAGCTCCTGGTCTCACACTACACAACACAGAAATCAAGTTCCTGCTCTATGCAGATGACCTGGTCCTGCTGTCACCCACAGAACAGGGGCTGCAGCAGAACCTGGCACTGCTAGAGTAGTACTGTCAGACCTGGGTGCTGACAGTCAACCTGGACAAGACCAGAGTTATGGAAGCCAGACCTCAGGGAAACAGGTACAAATTCACACTCAAAAGCAACACACTGGAATACACATCTAGCTACACATATCTCGGTCTCACCATCAGCTCATCTGGGAGTTTTGACCTGGCAGTGAAGGCACTGAGGGAGAAGGCACTCAGGGCATTCTACGCAATAAGAAGGAGGCTCTTCAACATCAACCCACTAACAAGAATCTGGCTCCAAATATTTCAAAGTGTAATCCAACCCACTGCCCTATACAGCAGTGAAGTGTGGGGTCCCCTCACATACCAGGAGTACACTCTTTGGGACAAACACCCCACAGAAACTCTGCACATGGAGATCTGTAGAAACATCTTTCGTGTGGGGATAAAAACACCTAACAACAGCTGCAGGGACGAATTAGGCCGGTACCCACTATTGATAAAAATACAGAAAAGAGTATTAAAGTATTGGCTACACCTAAAAAACAGAGACCAAAATTCATACCACCACAAAGCCCTGCTGAGCCAAGAGCTGAGTCCAAAACAGAGCCCCCTGAGCCAGCTGGTCCTGAGGCTCACTGACACAAACCACACCGACACTAACCAGCATCAGGACAGCACTGCTAGAGCACCACAACATAAACTGGAATGCTACAGAACCCTGAACAGACAATACATACTAGCCGAATATTTGACCAAGATAAGAAACAACAAAAAGAAACTGACCCTGACGAAGTACAGGCTCAGTGACCACAGCCTGGCCATAGAAACTGGGCGACACAGGCAGACCTGGCTGCCCAGAGAGGACAGGCTGTGCTCCCACTGCCAGCGGGGAGAAATAGAGACAGAGGTGCACTTCCTACTGCACTGTGAAAGATACTCTGGGATTAGAGAAACATTGTTCCCTAAATTCAGAAATCTAGTCCCAGAGTTCCCACACCTGCCAGAATCACAACGGGTCCCAGTACTAATGGGAGAGGGAGGAGGGAACTCAGTTGAACTGGCAGCCTAGTACTGTATGTGATCTCCTGTCACAGCCTGAGGAATAGTGAGCCTGTCTCCCAATAATGCTCAATATGTTTACAGTATATGTAAATATTTTATGATATGTCTCTGTTGTAAATGTCTGTTTTGTAGATTTTATTTTAGTTTTATTCTATGTTTTGTTCCATGTTAATTTTATTATTTTTATTTGCTTTGGCAACACTGATCGTACCCATCAGTCATGCTAATAAAGCACCTTGAATTGAATTGAATTGACTGTGAAGCAAAGGAATTGATTAAAAAACTTATATTGTATTAAAGTCTCCAGGGATTGCAGGGCCTGCTGGTGGCACCAAGGAGCTGAACTCAGGAACCAAGAGGAGAACTTGCTCAAAGCAGCTCACTCCTGCATGGTACTGTGCACAGTTATAACATCTGCGGCACTTAGCCTTTGAGCACGTGAAGTCAAACCGCTGCAACTATAATCATGAACAACTTGCAAAAATGCAAATTCTTTTAAAAAAGAAATGAGCACACAGACACAAAATGTAAAGGTAGTAGGCTTTTCTGAGTTCTGCTGTTTGTCATCTTTACGGACAAGACTGGTACCATGGAAAAGCATAGAGGTCCCTTTATCTGTTTAATCTCAGAAGACATTTTCTGGGCAGGATAGCACATTTTGAGGTCCAGAACACCCCAAACATCTTGCAATTCATTGTATTGCATTAGTTTATGTGAGAACCTAACTGACCATTGGTCTCTTCAGCATGTTTGTTTGCAATATGCTGTCATGGTTGGCATCCTTCCCCCAGGGGGCGCTCTTACCCTTAGGTGCCACTAATTCTACTTTAAACTCTGATGTAAACGTTTCCTGGTGTGTTTAATCAATATTTTATTATATAAGCCTAGTTCTTCCAATGCTCTAGGCCAGTGGTTCTCAAACTTTTTGGACCAAGTAACACCCCTAATCTAACCAAAGCATCCGAGTACCACCTACAAGTCATCATCTCATAGGAGCCCCAGAAATTCTCAATGACCAACATGAACGCACCCGCATACACACTCACACATACATATAATAAATATGATAATAATAAACTTTATTTGATATAGCGCCTTTAAAGGTGGCTTCTCAAAGTGTTTTACAGAAAAACACAGTAACAACAACAAATAAAAATAATAAAAAGCACCATCTCAGTGAGAGGGGTGAGCCTGTTCAGTCGAGCAAAGCAGATGTGAATTAATTTTTCGAGACTTGATACAATTCACAACAGAGTCTAACATATTTTAAATCGTCAGGCATTTTCTTGACGGCAAAAGTCTCGCGGTGGGTGGATGTTGCAATGCGTCCATTCATTTCTGCAGCAAACTCTCTAATTCGTGCAACTACACCGCTGTGTCGGCTTGGCATCGCTCTAGCACAGTCTGTACAAACTCCGACGCGATTTATCCAGTCGATGCCATTCTCTTCGATAAATTCATTCAGAAGCTGAAATATGTGCTCTCCTGTAGTTCCTGTTGGTAGCGGCTTACAGAACAGAAAGTCCTCATGGGACTACAGACTCATCTAATTGCAGTGAAAAACATCTGCTCATTTTAACGCGCTCTATCAGCGTACTTTTGATATAATCCTTCATTTCAATAATTCTATGAGTGACTGTGTCTTTCGAGGGGGCAGCAGGTCGAGCTGTTTAGCAGCTTTTTCCCCACACATAACACGTGTCAGCTCTTTTGCCAACGGTAAATAAGATTCTTCAAAAATAGTGTGGGGCTTACCTGCTTTAGCAATCCGCAAGCTTGTATTTTTCAGCGTTTCCGTTTTTATTTCCGTATTTATTTTGTTTTTATTCATGTGCATGGGAGCGAAACAGAGACGCTCAGTATATTTTTCTCAAATTAACTTAGAACAGTTCTTAAATATTTTTCTGTTATCTATCACGCTTTCCTGTGCTCACAAGATTACCAGCATTCGTAGCACGTATTTCTATGCATTCCTGTGTTTACAACATTGGCATTGTTCCAAAATACGCACGTTCTCCTACCTCCCTATTTGCTGGAGATTGCTTTTTTTTAAAATACAATTGGTCACTTGCGTCCATAGCACGCATTCCTATAGAGTGGTATAGAATTACAGAGTATCTCTTGTGTCCACTGAAGTATTAGCATGCACTGTATCGTAGTACGTAGGCCGCATATTCGACACGTATTAAAATACAAAATATGAAAACCCGTCCCGATTTTTCAGTGCACACAACACAGTTCCAGGGTCATTTGGCGTACCACCTGGCGTCACTCTGCGTACCACTGCAGGTACGTGTACCACAGTTTGAGAACCACTGCTCTAGGCTAACTTTGGAATATGGACGGCTGCAGGCCCACCTACGACCAGACTATGAGAAAGTCTGAGGGCATAGGCCTTATCCCCACACATCCTGACCTCTGAGCCCGGGGCTTGGAGCGCCTTGTCCCATGTCTCTCAGATGCCTCGTGTCTCCCTGTTCATGTTCCCCCCCTTCCGGGGATTTTAATCCGTTCTTGTCTTGATTGATTGCCCAGTTTGGGGTTCTGGACTGATTCCTGGCTTCCCCTTGGACCTGAATGGATTTTTTCTGTTATCAGAACTTTCCCCCTTTTCACTATGCCATGGATTACCACTGTATCACTTTTGTCATAATAAATCTTGTGTTTCTTTCCTGATGTCCATCTCCTGAACTTTCCGGATAAACCGCCTTTCAGAGGGTCTTAATTACAAACACATGGGAGACTGAGTCCTCCATTCCGAATGCTGAGCTTCCCGTGACATATGCAAGGCTCATTTAAAGACAGTGTTCATAAATCTGCATCCTTGTGTTCAGATATACAGCAACAGAGCATCCTAAATGAGTCCCAGGACTACTGAAGCAGCAAATGCATCCTGTGTGCTTCAGCAAAGAAGCTGGCAGTGTCAGACCGTCCTGAGCACTTCATGTCAGCGGAGACTCACCCTGTGTGACTCAAAGGTAGGCTTGGACTAGAAGAGTTGTTCCTTCCACCAGTTGTGTGCGCTGCTGTTGCTCTGCTTGTACTCATACGATCATCGAAAACACTCCTCCAGTATGCAACTGGTTATATCCAAGCACATTCAAAGGCTCTAACTGGTAATGGAGAATTCACCCTTGAAAGCACCAGAGTACATACTCAGTATTTACTAATATTTTCTGCCACCAATAGTATCCCTTGAACATTGCTTGCTTGTTGCACGGCATGTTAAGAGTCTTTTTTTACTTATGGTCTGTTTTACGGTTCATACTTCCCATGTAAGCTAAGCATTCCAGTGAAAGCTTCGAAACTAACCACAACATTGCCACTGCAAAGAACACTGATTTTTTCAATCTAAAAAGGCCAGTTCTGACCCCTTTTCATATGGCAGCGTTCTACATGACAGAAAAAGACCATGATAAAGCACTACCAACAGCCGAACAGGGCTGACAGCTTGTAGAATGTGAATCCAGTTAGACTGAAAGGGCAAGGAGACATTAGGTGGGGCAAACTAGAGAAAATTAAGGATTCTACTAAAAAAACCTGGTCCACCTCACTTCATCTTTCCTCTTTTCCTGGATTCAAAGCTCCAGGCCATTAGGAAGTTTCACCCGTGGGCTGTAGAATCCATTTAACAATGGGATGTTCCGTTTCCATGGTGAGCCTATGCAGCGGCCCACCTCCATCTCTGCTCATCAAACAAACCATTGTGACAAGCAGTGAGGCAGCGCTGCCTCAACAAACAGGATCACAGTCCCAAAACAAACCATCTCTCCATTCAGCGCTCACCGTGGCAACCAATCTTTTTTGTGGTGTTGCAGTTCTTAAAAACAATCAGAAATGGAGCAATCTTCCAAATGATATTTTCACACTGCTGTCCAATCCAATTTATCTCTTATATTTAAAAAATGAATGAAAGGAGTAGAGACTAGAGAAAATGTCACAAATGCAATGAAGAAATAAATACATCTCAAAGGTGCCTCACAAGCTGGCTTTTAAAATCACTGTACTTTCACAACATGAGTTAATAGTTTCAGTGCACTATATTCTGTAGAACATTTAACAAAACACCTCCTTTACAATCAAAAGAATTTCAACTAAACTTAAATATAACAGCATAAATCGTTCCTTAATTATTTAATTATTCATAAAAATCTGTGCAGAAAAGTGATATTGCTACTCCAAAGCAGTTTAATTGATTAATTTCAAGCTGCAGAATGGAGTAACACAAAACCAATAACTTTAAATTACTGCAACTCCACAACTTTGCAAACTCAAAGCTCTGTTATGGCCTTGATGAAGGTTTATGATACAAACAAATCAAGATTTAATTAACGAATAACGTCATAAAGCCATAAAGCATGCATCACAAAGTGATGCAAAATGAGTCATAAAAAAAACAAATCTAGAATCTAGAATAGCACATTAAGGCATTATGCACTACATTTACAGAACCAGGGTTTGCTGGGAGTTACTCAGTTGAGTCAGAAAGAGGCTGCCCTTCTGACTTCACTTGGAGAATTAGTCACTAGTGACTTGGGCCATCCCAGTACTCCTGGGCTAATGACACATCATTATAGAACTCAATAGGTGCTGCTTTTTTCTTCTTTATCATGTAACCGGCTTAGAAATCTGTAATCAGCAGTCATGAAACCATCTACATTTTTTTCTTCAGCACAATCATGTCTATAAATAGCTAGAGGAGGTTTAAGCTATTTTTGCTATGACTTGTGCTATTCTTGGAGATTCTCCATATCTAACTTAAGAAAATGAATTCAGCGCAATTTCAAACAGTCAGTTGAACTGGGCAGTTTTATTTTGTGTTTCATTACCATCAGTAAATGCTCAATTAAGCTGAGGAGTGAAAACAAGTGAATTTCCAATCAGCTCTAAATCTTAAGCATTATTGAGCAACTTCATTTGGCACAGTGACTCGTCGAGAGTCTGACTGAGTAATAAGAAAAACAAACCTAAAATAAAACAAAATACTCCCTGTGATATTTGTATCATCATACATGACGAGTTATCACCACAAAGCCTTGCACTGTAACTGTACAAGGTAAATGGATATTTCTAACATTCATAATAAGGAATATTGTGTGGACCAGTTATTAAGATCAAGCACTGCAAAATTTGCATAACATCACCATCCTTCACAATAAAGTGAAGTTGCCCATTCCTGCCCCTGTATTCACTACAGCAGGACATCAGTAACAATCTACCTAAAAAGTGTACAAGAATGATAAAATCTGAATTCCTAGAAGCTTTCGGTAAATTACTGTCTCTCCCTCATGTTTCATATGGGCTTTAATAAAAAGCAGTTTTCATGCCCTGCTTCACCACATTATAAAATCAGACCTGGCAGCCATTCCTGACTATGCCCTGTCCTCATTCCCGGGGTGTGTGAAGAGAAGACATAAGGGAAGAATGTGTGCCAGGCTGGAGTCTTCTGGATGCTCAAGATAGGCAAACACTGGAAACTAAAACCACCCCTGTCTGCTAAAGCACAGGACTGAGAACTCTGACAACTTCCCACAACACTGCTTTCCAAAGTGCAAGAGTCGCCCAACCTGGACAGATAGGACTCAGATGGGTAGTATTGTGTTGGAAAGACTGAGGTGGGATTGCCAAAGCGCTTTTATTACTTCAACATCAGCGTCTCTAGCCAAGGAAGTGCACTGTCAGGTTAGCAATGCTGACAGAAGCTCTACTTATCGGATACCACTATTAGTTTGATCCACTCATTGCTCAACCGTTCATTTTCAACGGTGTAATACTACATTTAAAACACATTGTCTAAACCAGGGAGGGAGAACAGTCTTCTTCTAGGCTCTGGCATCAGCCCAGCCCCAAAGAGAATCACTGTCATTTTGGAGCTATACTAACTTTTTGCCCTAAGAGATGAAAGAAGCTCACGGAGATACAGTCTCTGCCTCAGCCTGTCAATACATTAGTTTCTTCAATCATTCCTGCATATAAAACTGGTGCATATTTTTGGGTACACAGGCTGAGCACTATTCTGAGGAGTGTGTACAAAAAAGCTGAAACAATATCATTTGGGTCGTTTTGGAGGTGATCAAATTGGATGTGTTAGGGATTGAGCTACAAGGCCTACTCATTTTAACTCATGTCAGTTTATAAACCGGATTCTGACATGTGCGTTGTCCTCGTTTAGCAGCATAATAAGGATTATCATGTGTATCAGTTATTAGTGATGAAATAGCATTTTTATTCATTTGGCAGTCTACACTGGTTTGCATCTCTAAAACCTCTTCTGTTCCAGTGCATATCGTACAAATAACATCAGCCTCTGCCCTTCCCTGCCATTCCTTATGTTGTTGTAAGCAAATAACAAACTAAAATTATGTTACATACAGTATAATACCTTCTCATTATGAATTCATATTTTAATTCCCATATACAGTATTACATACTTTATTAAATACAACTGACACAAGGTACACCAAGGGCAGATGGGATGGCTTTCCAGACCACATGTTTTTGTGATGACCTTGTTTGATGGTCTGCCGAGTTCACAGAGCACTTTGTAATTCACCTCTCACAACAGCATGTTTTACGTTGTCCACCTCTGAAATTATTTTTTAATTAAACTTTTCATTGCAAACAGGATCAGAGATGTAGTTTGATACCATATTACGGTTTACCTTGTCTGTGATCTCATCAACTTGTCACTTCAGCAACAAGTTTTCGACTGGCAGTTCGGGAAAACTAGGAAGACTACGGGCTTGTCAGCACTTTTGCAAGAAGAATCTTCCTAGATCTTTTTGGGGAGAGGTGAGGTGGGGGTATTGACAGAAATGTACAGGAGCGGCAGACAGTTGCCAGGTGCACAGAAAAAAAACCAAAACTAGTGTGGATCAGCTTGTATGAGTGAATGACTCTCTATTTTGAAGATTCATAAAGGAAGCTAATGTTGTGTTAGTCTTCTTCCAAATCTTTAGAACACATGCCTGTATGCCAGAATGTACTGATGAAGCCCTCAAATGCAGTTTGGTAATGCCTTACTTAGAATTGAAACCTCCAAAAAATCCTTGAAATTTAAAGTACATTGAATTGTCTCAAGTGCTTAAAGCTTGATAGCCCAGTATTATTCCATTACTCACAATGTTATGATTCAATTTGATGCAAGAGTTTATGTCCTTCATTAAAACATTTTTTAAAACACTTGAAGATTGTGCTCACCATGAAAAGGCCTGGAGAGACAGATTGCAAGATTGATTTCACTATAACAGAGTATTTAGTAGACAAAAGGAAAAATCTCTTATTTCCATTGGAAAATAAAACTCTTTTTAATCTGGAACTGGAGAAATGAATGTGAAAGAAACGTATGAACACCTCTGGTTAAGGACGAATGACTGAAGACCTTCAAGCTCTTATTTCCCAGATCTTGAAGATAAGATTTAGCATTCACTGCATTGCTCACTAATGTGTGATATTTTATAGTCCTAATTTAGTAAGAAATATTGATTAAAATAGTTTTTTAGACATAATTAAATAAGAATAGTGGTCTACACTATATAGAACTGGCTTAGATGTAATTCTGTTGCATTGCTCTGCAGTTGTAATTGGATTCGAATGTGCTGTAGTTGTAATTCAGGATGCTTGGTGCTACTTGGGATGTATGTACCTATCGGTCAATGACGTGTTGTGTTTTTTAAAGTTTACTTCCCATGCATGGCTTGCTAGGGTCCTGTAGAGGGGACAACTGTTATTGTAATTCAGTGGTGACATTGGTCTATAATGCAAAAATAATAGTTAAAGGCTTCAACACTTATTAATTTATAAGATAAGTTCACACTCCAAAAAGCAGTCTTAAATAATAAGTTAAAAATAAAATAGCTAAATATATTTCAGTTGGACCTTATACTTCAGCCAAAATGTACATCTTAAAACTGCAGTCCGAAACCTGATTTTGAAATGTATATGTTTATAAAACTGACTTATTTTCAGAAAATAATGGAGATGTAGTAATATGCACCTTAACTAAAAATGCTAAAACAAGCCCTTTTTTTCCCTTGGACTGCAAAAACCTACATTGTCACATTTGACACAGCAGCATTTATTGATTTTAAGACAGCATGAGCAGGAGAACTCTGACGAAGAAAAGTTTTCAGGGCAGAATCAGAGAAAGATCAGAAGACAATGCAGAGGAAGTCTTTTTCAGCCTCCCCCTCTAGCCTCTCTGTTATCTGAAAGGACACGCTGTTCCCCCTCCAGCGATCTCAGTTACATATTGCAGCTTAATTTGCCACCGCACTACTGTATGCTAGGCAGCAGCTGTGAATGAGATAATGCAGATGTACACAATGAATTGTTACGTTTGCACTGCATTCCTGGCACGGACGAGAAGAGTATCTAGTAGCAACACAACAAAATCACTCCACCACCTCCCAGACAATGGAAGGTATTTACATCAACAGATGCACATTCAGCGGAACAAAACCTGGAAATGCAATCCTGTCTCTTCTACAAGAACATCACTGGGGAATTAGCCTTTTCTGCAAAGCAATGATGATAACTGCCATTTAGCTGATGGAAAGTGCCATTCAAGTGTAATTCCCCAGAGAA